CACTGCTGCTGTAAAGGCTGGTGGAGGGCCAATAACTGTAGGAGCAGAGTGTGCAGGTCCATGTGCACCTTGTGAGGGTGGTGGTACTCCCATGACGTCAGCTGGGGACCCTTTGTTGGATTCATCTCCACTTTGCGGTCTTGAGGCAACAGAGCTGCTCGTTTCCTCCTTCAGGAGGGATGTAATGAGAGTCGCTTTCTCTAACTCTATTTCCTTTTCCTTTAGTTTACGTTGCAGCATTAGCCGTCTGGTAATAGCCTCCTTTGCCTTTAATGCTATTTCTGCCTCTTCATCAAGCTTACACCTCTGTATTTCTTGTTCTCTTAGGAGTTCCTCTCTTCTTCTGAGGGCTTCCCGAGCTTGCTGGTCCAGATGCTGGTACTGTTCATCCATCAGACTTTCCTCCATTATCTGTCTTTGCACCTCTGCCAACTCCATGCGCTTTATTCTCTCCTCCAACATGGCTGTCTGTATGTCAGATAACCCATCGATGATTGACCTCCTTTTTGACGAACTGGCGCTGCCCTGGGTCTTAGCTTTACTGCGCTGAGAGACAGGTTCGCTTTGATCTGATGATGCTCTCCTACTAGGTAGGCTAGGTATGGCTCCAGTGATGGCAGCTGTCATCATTGCAGGTTGATCTGGAGGATGAACTTCATGCCCAGCTGGAGCTTGGGTTGATGGATGATGGAGAAGTTGAGGTTGATATCCAACTTCATAGTCCTCCAAATACGTTGGTAGTTGTCTCTCCCGCTGGGATCTAGAACGCACTGCTGGGTCTGCAGATGGTTGTCCTAGCTCCTCCATAATATCTCTAGATGACTGTGGATCCGGCTCGAAGGACCATGTGATAGAGTGGGAACTCTGGAAGTTATTTGCTGATCTGACAGTATCTTCAAGATAAGGGCTCCGGTCAGAGAGCAGGGCACGGAGAGACAGTTTTACGTATTTAATGACAGTTGAAGTATGGACATCTGTACATTTCTGTGGTTCCGTGTGGTATGTCAGTCATGAACGCACACGAGGCTGTCTGCCATCACCAACAGCTTGGACAAAATGGTAGAAACGGCTTTACAGGAAGTGACTATCTAGAGGAAGTGATGTCACAAACTGGACCACCAAAATAAGAGTGGGGTAACTTTACACATGGATCTTCTAGAACTGCCATAACTATAGTCATAACTATAAGCCTTTCTGACAATTGCTTCCTTGATCCATCTTTTGTATTTTTGTTGTTCGGTGGTTATGATCCGTGTGTTGTCCCAGTCCATTATATGGTTTTCTCTTAAGCAATGATCTGTTATGGCTGACTTTTTTATTGTACTTTCTGCTTCTTCTTTTGCTGCTCTTGTGTGTTTACGATTTGCCTCTTTCTCGCACTCCTTTCTATGTTCTATTGTCCGTGTATTGAGTTGGCGTCCGGTTTCTCCTATGTATGTTTTATTGCATATTTTGCATGGGATTTAGTAGATGACTCCACATTTTTGTCCAGCTGATATTTTGTCTTTTGGGTGTACTAGTCTGTTTCTAACTGTTGTGTATGGTTTTGTTGGTGTGTTTATGTTGTGTTTTTTCATTGTTGCTCTTATTTTTTCCGTTATGCCTCTGATGTATGGTAGGGTTATCACTGGTTTTGGTTCTTGTCTTTCTGGGTTTCTGGTTCTTTTTTTGGGTTGTTCTTTGCTTTCTGTTTTTGTTTGTTGTTTTCCTTTGTTTATCGCCCATGTCGGGTATCTGCAGGTCTTTAAAGCGTGTTGTATGTGTTTGTCTTCTTGTTTACGGTCTCTCTCTTCTGTTATTATGTTTGCTCGGTGATATAATGTTCTGATTATTGACATTTTTTGTATGGTAGGGTGTTCTGATGTCCATAATAGATATTGGTCTGTGTGTGTTGGTTTCCTGTATGTGTTTATGTTTAGGGTTTAGGGCAGTAGAGGGCGACAACGTCCTCTGCTGCCCGCAGATAAACGGAGAAGGAAGTGACGCGCCACCATCAGCGTCAGCCTGAAGAAGCCGGCAGCCGTCGGCGAAACTGTAGCTACAAAACAGGTAAACAAAACTGTTTCTGTGTTTAAAAAGAACGAAAGCATGGATTTAGAAAGACACAGCAAGAACACACCTAAGAAGCTTAAATCACCTTTCTTTCTTGTTCTGACCTTCAGTTTGGAGTTCAGGAGATGGTCTTGACCAGGACCACATCCCTAAAAGCATTGAAGCAACTGCCTTGTGATTGGTTGATTAGATAATTGCATTAAGGAGAAGTTGAACAGGTGTTCCTAATAATCCTTTAGGTGAGTGTATAAAAATCTCATTTACTGATCTGTAGATCCTCCACTAGGGTGCAGTATGCATGTGCAGCACAGGTTGGTGTTGAGTTACAGTGGCATAATTTGATAAGTACAACTCCACAGCAATGACACACACACACACACACACACACACACGCGCGCACACACACACACACACACACACACACACACACACACACACACACACACACACACACACACACACACACACACACACACACACACACACACACACACAGAGTCATTTACAATTTTATCAACATGTGTGTTTTAAACAGGAAAAACATGACTGTGTTTTGATGTAACAATAAATTTATAAATTATTTTAATAAAAAATAAATGCACCAGGAGTTTATTTCCTGACATTTTTGTTACATTGTTATGTCAGTGGAGTAAGAGTGGTGCTGTATCCGTCCATCTCAAACCACCTGCAGGTGCTGTAAACTCCACTTTTCTCCTACAAGGGGCGCTGTAACACCAACACAACAGCTGTAAGAAGCAGGGGTGCCTCATTTTAGTCACAAATTTGTAGGAATAAAATCTGAATTTTCTGCCATTTTACTCTTTATCATCAGTTCTGTGTAACCTTGCATAATAATCACTGGATTTTCTAGTTTTATACATTTCTCACCACATAAAAAAGAAAATGTTGGTTGTCCTGAGTAACCGGATCAATCACCTTGTGCCTTTATTTTTCTTAGAAACAAACTAAAATCAGGGCATCAGACGTTTGTTCTTTAACAGCAAGACAACACACTTTGTTTTGTAGAGATGCAGGATTGTTTATGGTTGTGTAATTACGCTCCTTGCCTTGTCTCTGTCCTACGTTTGCCTTTCTGACTGAATGAACGACTTCCTTTTCCTCTGAAACTTAAAGTATTGGACAAGCATTGATGTATATGTGGCAAGGTGGAGCAGCGAGGGCCAGGGCGGGATTCGATCCCCAGACTCCTGGGTGAAAGTCATACACTCTAACCAGTCAGCCAAAGGTCCATCCCATTGGCCAAGACGCCAGGGCGCATGATCAATCGGGACACTGTGACAGGATGCTCACACTGTCACATATAGTATATGGGTGGAGACGTATTTCATCACATATTTATGAAGTTCTTTGCACAAAATCACGGTCACAAAAATACATTTCAGCAGTCTTATTCTCGACATTTTCATTACCTTCCAGACTGAGTCCTGCTGCACACTGGAAGCAAAAGCAGTGCAGAACGGCACCGCTGCAAATATACTCCATTATATTCAAACCAGCCATGGCGCGACAATTTTCAGAGGCGTGATGCCACGCTGCTAAAGATAAGATCGGGTTCTATTTTTCCCGTTTATTCCAAACAACATCTACTGACAGATTTTGTGACATTTCTGACAACGCTTGAGTACTTTCTGTAGAACTTTGACATTCCCTGAAGATTAGAAAAAAAAACCATCCTGCAGACCCAACCTTCGAGATGCTAGGAAAGCATGCAGCCTGATTTGTCAATCAGGGATTCATCAGGATAGCCCTGATGTTCTGAGCTCGTTTAGAGAAATGCCCCCCTGGATTGAGAACCATTGTGTGACATCAACCGACCAAATCATAATCCTTTCTTGGTTGGTCACCCAGATATTAAACAAATTGTTTTATAAGCAAAATAAATTTAAGATGCAGAGAGACATATTAAAGAGCAAGTCACCCCCAACCAGTCGTTCTCTGCTCCCACTTCCTGTTAGAAAAATGCAACAAATGCTGTTGCCTGGCAGACTGAGGGCAGAGCTGCTAACAAATACACAGACTCACAACGACATGATTCTGACATGGTTTTGGAGACGAGTTTAACCCAAGACATGTAGAATTCACCACTCACGAGTCAATTAGAAAAATTAAAGAATTTAACTTTAAAAAAATCGGGAACCGAGGGTGCACTGGATAAGGTCGAATGGGGATTGCAACGGAACCGCAGCGTCTGAGGAGGGGAGAGCAGAGGAACAGGTGAATCCAGGGAGGTAAGTCTGAACTAGGAAGGTGCAGAGTTAAGACTTACTGGAAGCTGGGGGCTGAGCAATTGGGGAGGGTAGGTGGAGTGCCGGTGTCGGTACAGGATCTGCTCGGGTGCAAGATCGGCTCGGGGTCCTTCGACTGCCGATAATGTCAAAGTACGGCAAACCCACTCGGACAAAATACACTACACATCTTTATACTGTTGGAAAGAACTTAGCAGATTCGTTATTAATATAATGTTTCTCACGACGTAAGTGTGTTTTTATAATGGTATTTGTAAAATAAAACACTATATTGTATCCATAATGTTGAACTCCTCTTTGAGCACATCCCTTGAAGGATCATAGGTATTAGCAACACCTGTGAAATTGTGTTTGCAGGAAAGAAGTGTATCCCGTTTATTGAAGTATTTTGTGTTTAGAGTTTTTGACCTCTTGTCCATGCGTAGTTCAGGTACGCTCATAGCTGCTAGCCAAAACTCTGGAGTTAAAAGTTTTCTGGCTTTACTAAAATACCTGTCTGTACTTATTTGATTGATGGTAGTTTTACTTTCTGTTAGACTCCAAATGTAATCATTTGGCACTTTTCTAATTCATAATTTGTAATAATGTAATCGGTGATATTAGCATTAGCATTCCTATGGGTTTTTCCATGTATATTAGCATTGCGCTGTAGCATTCAGTCAATATCGAGAAGGCCGGAACTGATGGTGAATGATGATTTATTGAGCCGTCCGTATCATCAACCAACCAACGTAAGAGCTAGGCATAAACAAAAAATAAATAAATCATAAAATAAACCATAATGCATAACTGATTACATTGGTAGTCGTTTTCACAATTAATACAATCATATAGACACGTTCCGTTTTCATAACAACATTCTGAATTATAATTACAAACCTTGTTCCCCTTATCAACTGAAGCTAGACAGAAGTATTCTTCAAACTTTCTTTGTCTTCTTCTCCGTGAACTGCTAATAGCCTATCCTTTGCTCCGTCTTCACTTCTAATAGATTTCCGTTTGCTTCTTCTGTGTTGCGCCCGTTGCGCCTCCCTACTTGGCTACGGTTGCTATGACGCTATCAAAATAAAAGCCCGTATACCTTTGCCGTTGTTAAACATAAAGAAATAGTTCACCTTTACACTCCCACCAAATTATTTACTATTGAACATATAAACACAAATAATTTTTCCATAACAATAACAGTAGCTTAACAGATACTTTGTATAAAATTCAAAAACAAAAAATGAATAAATAAAACATTTTCCAACACTTTAAAGCATTGTAGATTCAAACATTACAGTCTTCTAACAACAAGACCAACTTATGAACAGGGCATTCTACCACAGACATTTTGCGGACACGTTGGCCCTTATTGTTTAGATTTTTGTCTGCAGAGGCTATTTTGACCTTTCTGACAAGTCCATCAGTGTCCTGCACAGTGTCCACGATTCGACCAAGTTTCCATTGAGAGCGTGGTAGCATGTCATCTTTGTCCATCACTATGTCTCCAATTTGCATGTTTCTTTTAGGTGTGTGCCATTTTTGTCTCACTATAAGGTTCTGAAGGTACTCTTTTCTCCATCTGCTCCAGAACTGCTCAAGAAGGTACTGAACTTGGCGCCACCGCTTTCGTGCATACATGTCCTCTTTTATGAATGTTCCTGGTGGAGGCAGAGCACTTGAAGTTTTCATTGTGATGAGATGGTTTGGAGTTAGTGGCTCCAGACTGTTTGGATCGTTAAGATTGTCCGTAGTTAAAGGGCGGCTGTTTACTATTGCAGCTGCTTCATAGAGAAAAGTCCTGAGTAAAGAGTCAGTAAGCCGACCTGGAGTGAGAGCCAATGTTGCGTTGAGAACATTTTTCACAGTCCGTATTTGTCGTTCCCATACTCCACCTGCGTGACTTGCGTGAGGTGTGTTTAGAACAAAATCACATTGTTTTTCTGCAAGGAAGGCTGATAGCTTGCCAGTGTCCATTTCACTTTGTGGTGCATTGAGTTCGTTTTTGGCACCTATGAAATTAGTACCCTGATCACATTTTATTTGTCTGACAGAGCCTCTTAGAGCGATGAAGCATCTGAGTCCATTTATAAAGGTGTCCGTAGATAAGTCCTCTAACATTTCAACATGCACTGCACGTGAATAGAAGCATGTGAAAAGGAGTCCATACCTTTTCTGTTTTTTACGTGCTTGTTTGGTCAGAAATGGTCCAAAAACATCCATACCACAGTAGGTGAAGGGTGGAGATTGTTCAGTCCTCTCTGTGGGTAAATCCCTCATTTTTTGTCCTTCCACAGGCCTTCTTTGTTTACGACAGAACACACACTGCCGAATGTAGGAGGAAACCCTTTGGCTCAATTTTGGGATCCAATAGCCACTGGATCGTATCTCATTCATGGTGAAGCCTTTTCCTTGATGATTAACTCTTTCATGAGACTGTGCGATTATCAGTTTTGCAATGTGATGTTCTCCGGGAATGAGTGTTGGCTGTTTGATTGAATTGGGCAGAGATGAAAGCTGAAGCCTTCCACCAACCTTGAGCACACCGTCTTTGTTTATGAAAACATCCAAGTTGCTTATTTTGCTGTTCTTTGGGAGTTGTTTGCCTTTTTTGAGTGTGTCTATTTCATTTTGATACACTTGTCCTTGCAAATCTTTGATGATCACAGTTTCAGCTATTTTTCTTTCAGCTACAGTGGTGAGTGTCTTTGATTTGTCTTTGAGCAGATATCGTCTGAGACGTGCTACAGCACTAACTGCACGGGACCAGGAGGAGAACTTTGTGAGGTGGTCACTGAGACTTGCATGTTTTACAGCTTGAGTGTTTAGGGTCTGCACCTTTCTCACCTCTGGGTCTCCTACTGGGAGCTCGATAGTCTTTCTTGTTGGAAGCTGTATTTCTCCTTTCCACAGAAACTGAGGGCCGGTGAGCCAGTTGGATGAAAGCAGTTCCTTTACAGAAGTGCCCCTGGAAGCCATGTCGGCGGGATTTTCATCAGTAGGTACATGAAACCATTGTTGCGGTGAAGTGTGGCTCCGTATTTTCTGCACTCTATTCGCAACAAACGTGTGGAAGCGCCTTGCCTCATTATTTATGTACCCTAAAGTGACCTTTGAATCTGTCCAAAAGAACTCTTCTACATCATCGTAGAGCAGCTCCTCCTTTAGCATTTTGCTCACTGTGACTGATACTGTGGCTGCGGTGAGTTCCAACCTGGGTATAGTGGTGACCTTTGTGGGTGAGACACGTGCTTTGCCCATGACAAAGGCACAATGAACTTCTTTGTTTTTGTTTGTGAGTCTAAGATAGGTACATTGGCCGTATCCTGCGGTGCTTGCATCTGAAAAGTGATGTAATTCTCCTTTGATCACTTCTCCAAATTCTGCAGGAGCATAACATCTGTTTATCTGGACGTTCTTTAAATTTTGCAGGTCTCCTTTCCAGCACTCCCACCATGGCCTGAGGTGATCTGGTATTGGGTCGTCCCAGTCTGTTCCTTGACGGCACATTTCTTGGAGAATTCCCTTGCCGTTGAGCACATAAGGAGCTAAAAATCCGAGGGGATCATATATTGCTGCAACTGCTGATAGGATGCCCTGCCTGGTTGGGGGTTGGTCCTTCAGCATGATGTTGAACGTAAAGCAGTCTTTCTCTACATTCCAATAAATGCCAAGGGCTCTTTCTGTTTGTGCCTCTTTGAATGTCAAGTCCTTTGTTTTTGTATCTGTTGCCAGCTCTGATGTTGGGATGCTGTTTAAAACATCAGTGTTGTTGGATACAAACTTATGCAGCCTTAATCCACCCTTTGCACACAGCTCACGTGCTTCCTTTACTAGTTGAATAGCATCCTCAGTTTTTTGTACGCTGGTGACTCCGTCATCTACATAGAAGTCCCTGGTTATGAACTGTGAGCCTACAGGATATGCAGATCTGTTTTCCTTAGCCAGATGTTTGAGTCCATAGTTCGCACACCCTGGGGATGAAGCAGCGCCAAAAAGGTGGACTGTCATCCTGTATGCTTGTGACTGGCTGTTAACGTCACCATCTTTCCACCATAAGAAGCGCAAATAGTTGCGATCATCTTCCTTAACCTGAAACTGGTGGAACATTTTTTCAATGTCGCACATTAGAGCGACTTTATGCTGTCTGAAGCGCACCAAAACACCAGTTAGACTGTTGATCATGTCAGGGCCATTTAGTAAATGATCATTAAGGCAGGTACCATTGTGCTTAGCTGAACAGTCAAAAACTATGCGCAACCTGTCAGGTTTCTTTGGATGATAAACACCGTGGTGAGGTATATACCATGTCTCACCAGGTGGTCCAATATCGTCAGTTTCTTCTGCATCACCTCTTTTGATCATTTCATTCATGAATTTCATGTAATCCTCCTTGTATTTTTGATCCTTCATGAGTTTGCGTTTCAGTTGACTTAGTCTGCTTTCAGCAAGTTTTCTGTTAGTTGGCATTTGAGGTCTTTTCCTGAACGGCAATGGCATTTCATAATTTCCCTTTTTCGTTTGTACTATGCCTTCCTCAAGTTTTTGGAGGAATAATAGATCCTCTTGTGACACAGTCTTTTCATTTCTTTCAGCGTCTTTAAAGTCTCTTTCCAATACACGTATTGCATCTGCTGGAGTGGAAGGAGGAACCTCTTTAACGGTGCATCTGTGACAAAGCCTGGTTGCCATGTCTGTTTTCTCTTCGGGGTCTGAGTTGCCAACAATGCTCCATCCCAAATCAGTCTGAAGAGCATAAGGTTCATTATCTTTGCCTAAGATTACTTGTTTAGGTGCTAGAGCTCTAGGACAAGTATAACCTATGAGGAGACTTATCTCACAACTGAGAAGTGGAGGGATTTCATCGGCAATGGGCAGCAAGTGACTCCACTGTTTGGCTGTTTCACATGTGGGTATGTGTTCTCTGTTAGCAGGGATGCAGTCCTTTGAATATGCCGTGGGAAGCTTTATGACTGTGGCTGAGTTATAGCCTCTCACCAAGAGATCAGACACCCTTTCACTGCTTACAACTGCATTTTTTCCCATCATGGTAGTCAGTTTTAGCTTTACTGGGCAAACATCTGCCTGCAGCTCATGTGTTACTTCCTGATCAATGAAGACTGCATCACTCTGCGTGTCTAATAGCGCATAAACCAGCTTTTCTTTGAGTGGGTTGTTAGCAGTTGACAGCCACACTGGAACTATCATTGATGTGCTGATTGTGTGTTCAGGTCTGGCAACATTGAGTGACATAGCCGTCGCTGCTGCAGGTGAGTTAACTTGAGTTCCATTATTTACACTCACATGTGTCTCCTTTTGTAGGCTGTTCCAATAATTGTCGTCATGAAGACAGGTAGGATGCCTCTTTGAGCAGGTGTCACAACTGAAGCGGTGTTTGCAGTCTTTGGCATTGTGACCTTGTTTTAGACAACCATAACAAAGCTTTTTCTCCTTCACAAACTTTCTTCTGTTTTCTAGAGACAGTTTTAAGAAGTCTGGACACTTGTGGAGTGGATGTGCAATCTGACACAGAACACATGAAAAATCCTTTGATGTTATTATTATTGACTGTGTGTTACTTTGTTCCGTTGAATTTGTCTTAAAAACACTTGCTTTGTTCCCTTTTGGTTCTCTTGTGTTTCTTTTGTCGCTGTTAGTTTCAGAGTAACGAAGGGCATGAATGGAGGTGAATGGGTTACATGCAACTTCAGCTTCAACAGAGAGAAAGGATGCAAAGTCACTAAAACTTGGAAACTCACCACCTTCCATTAAAGTCTTTGTTACCTGTCTGTTCCATCTTGCATTTATCCAGTCTGGTAGTTTGTGCAGTAATTTTTGATTTTCCTCGCAGTCGTTAAGTATTTGCAAACCCTTTACATGAGGCATAGCGAGCATGCATGCATTTAGGAAGTCCGCAAAAGTTCTTAATCCATCAGCATCTCTGGACTGCACCTTTGGCCAGTTTGATAGCTTCTCTCTGAATGATTTCTGTATAATAAAGGGCTGGCCGTATCTTTGGTTTAACTTGTCCCAAGCATCCTTATATGCGGCTTCATCACTCCTAAAGAAAGTCCCTTCAATGCATTTGCGAGCTGACCCTGTTACATATCTCTTCAAATAGTACAGTTTATCTGCTGCTGAGATGCCCCTTTGATCAATCAGTGATGTAAATGTGGATTTCCATTCAATGAAATGCATTGGGTCGCCACTAAAAACTGTTGGTTCTGGCGTAGGAAGTTTGTTTAATCTTATGCTGTCTTGAACTGCCTGTGCTAGCTGGGTAACACTGGAGGGAGCTTCCTGCACTGCTGGTGCCAACTCAGTAACAGTAGG